CCCGGCCTCGGCCCCAGTCCCACCCCGGCCCTCCCTCTCCGCCGCCCGGCGGCCACGCCCCCCCGCAAAGCAGGGCACGCGCCGGGACGCGTACTCCCGCCGCCAGCGCCATCTTGACCGGGCCGTCCGGGGTAGGGACGCCGCTGTGGCCACGCCTCTAGGGGCGGGGCCCTCCCTGCGCTTTGATCCTCCCAGCTGCTCCTCCCCATGTGGCCCCTCCCTCGGGCATGCGGGCTCACCCCAGCCCCAGAAGCAAGAGGAAGTGGTCAGGGAGTGGGCTCTTTGCAGAGGCAATAGTAACTAACGTGGTGGCCGGGACAGCCCTTCCCACAACTGGGACAGGACAAGACACCACTGAGCCCCAGGTCCAAGCCAGGATGATGGGTCCCCACCAGGCAAAGATCAAAAACCATAAGGCAGAAGGCTGTGGTGACTGCATGTACAGCATAAGCTGCTGTAGGTGCCCAGAGCCGTGGGCATGAGTGGCTGTAGGGACCCTGGCAAGATCCTCGCTAGGGCTCAGTTATCGCAGCACTTGGGCAGGGAAGGCAGTCAGATGACACCACCCCAGAGTACTGAAAACCACACTGGAGGGTGCTTCAAGCAGAGGCAGGGGGCTGCCTGGACTAAGACCCTGCCTCGTGCCCCTCTGGGGAGGAGGAATCAGAGATGGCAGTTTAGCCACAGCATGGCTGGTGGCTAAGAATGGACCCCCCACCTTGCCCATCAGAGCACCAAGTGCACAAAAGCTGGACAATGTCCTCCAAGGCAAGGCTGGGGGCAACAGGTCCCTCACTGCTGTGGGACTGCAGTGGCACCTCTTAGACACTGGTATTTTCATTTGTTTGATTCTGAACAAACACTGAAAAGTCACACCTGTCGGGGCAGGGCAATGAGAGGGGAGTGGGCCCTGAGTGCTGCCACATGCAGCCTCGTTCTCATCACCTGGAGCACCAACACGGTACGGTGTTGGCGATGTCAACATTTGTTCTTTACCATCTTAAGCATTTCCACTTCCTTGTTGCATGAACCGATTTTTGAGGTGGAAAACTATTTTTCCACAGCTACTTAACACAGTAGCAGCAACTGATGTTCATGTCTCTGGTCTGGCAGAATTTGAAACTTCTGTGAAGATAAAGGTGGTAAAAAACATCTTCTATCGTCACCCATGGCAGCAACCTAACACTTGAGGCCACTAACCCTGTGTTCTCCTGGTTGAAAGGTTTCGGAGTGTCACTTTGGAAATGAAACCAAAACCCAGTTCTTCAGCGCTAGAAATCATGAGTAATTGCAGGTGTTCCGGGGACTACGAGACAGAAAGGCGGCAGTGAAACCAGTATGCAATCTGCACTCTAATCCAGGTTTATTCAATACAATTCTCTCACTCTACACAACAAAGTACAAACACGTTTTTATCTAAAATGCTACAAAGTTACAAAACTCAAAACAAATTTTATAGTACTGACTGTACAATAGAAGCCAAAAAAAGCAATGTACATTCTGCCAAGGTAACCTGCAAGACCACCATGAATTGACAGGCACATGGGGGCTCGGTGATGACCCTGCAGAGCTGGCTCTCAACCCGCTCACCAATTTCAGAGTAAGGTATGCGGGATGTGGAGGTGTGTGCATGGGTATGTGGAAAAACAAAGCCACTCACAGCAACTAACACTGGCGAGAGAGGCTCTTCTGGGGTGTCTGACCCTAGAGGTTGGAAGAGGACTCAAGTAGGGGAGCAAACGCCAGGCCTACTGGGAAGGGCGGCTGCTGGAAAGCTCGCCCTCTTTCCTGAAAGATGCTGCACAGCAACAGCAAGGGTAGGACTGGGCCACCAGACTGGCCCCAGGTCACCCGTGGAAAGGAAAAATGCTTGTCCCTGCTGGCTTTGCCACATAACTGCCTCTCAGGAACCAGAAATAGGTGAGCTTTCTAGCCAGAAAACTTACAGCCACAACCCCAAACCAACATTTCTGCAGCCAGATAGATGTTGGCCTGCGGAGGAAATGTCTCAATTGCTGCTTTCGAAGCCCGCCAGAGTAAGAGATTTCCTTTCCTACCAATCCTCCTGTGGCTAGAAGTGACAGGACTGACATGGATGGGCATAAGTTACAGGGGTGCGGGCTTTGATGACCCTGCTTATCGGGAGGAGTTGGAGCTGGAGCGGCTCCTGTGGCGGCGGCGGCCAGGGGAGCGCGATCGCCGGCGCACAGGGGACCTGCGCCTCGGGGAGCGAGACCTGTGGAAGAGGAGAGACCATGTGAGAGGTCTGGCTGCAGGGCAAGCCGGCATCTTTCTGGAACAATCCTCCAGTTTCACTTCTCTACACTAGAAGTCAGTACAGCTCCCTTTGGATGGGACTGGCCTAGGGCTCTTGGGAAGGGAAAGGGGTATTCTTGAGACCAAAGGCACCACCCAGGCCTTCCTCCTCTTCTCTGAGGGCTGCAGAAGATGCGGCTCACCACCACTGGCAGGGAAAGGCCAAACTGGCTTCTACTGAGGTGATTTTCGCCCTCCACTACTCCTCCGACCTCCTCCTCTCCTGGCCCTTCCTGTTTTCTCAGCTGGGAAGGGGGGAGAGGTGCACCTGGTCTGATTCAGAGTAGTTCAGGTGCAACACCAGGACCTCTTCTGCTTGCTACTCACTATGGTGACTGCCCTCCTCCATCACCTGATGAGCCTCGGAGGACCACCCACCCACCAACACAGCTCCCTCCCCCCACAGCAGGGAGGGCAGGCAGAGCTGAATAAAAGGCCCCCCAGGTCATCGCAGTCACACGAAGTTTGTAAATCAAGCAAACTGAAAGCGGCCCAATCAGTCTGCTGCAAGACTCCAAGCTGATTTACCTTCTCCTCATACGTGGGGGTGACCTGCGCCACATGGGAGGTGGTGGCAACATTCTCCTGGGAGGGCTGAACCGCCTGGGAGGTGGCCTAGGCCAGGGGGCCAGCACAGCAGTTGCAGTGATCTCCTGGCCATCGATTTGTCCTGTTAAGAAAAGGACAAGTCATAAAGTATCTAGAGAGTACCCACCCTAGGCAAGGCACCAACCCACATGCTGGGCCTGCCACGGTGACAACAGGCCTGACGGGACAATGACAAACGTTAGGTATAACTGAGTCATGACTGAGGTTGCACCAGGAAAAACTACAAGGGGGCATGGAACCTAACGGGGGACACTGACTGATGTGTTGGGACAGCCTCCCAGAGGAAGTGCCACCTAAGTTAAGACCTAAAGAATGTGCTAGAATCAGCTAAATGGAAAAGAAGGGTTGTGCATGGTCATGAGCTGGGAAGGACCCAAAGCCCTGGTGAGAGAGGCAGCAGCTAGAACGAGGGACAGGTTCACATGAGGCCTACTGTGCAGGGCAGAACGGGGGCTCTACTGGCAGGACCACTGAGGTGGTATCAGCATTTGAGTTTCCTTCTCAAACATGATGGGAAGCTGAGGCTGGGGCAGAAAGAGGGGTAGACCTGTTAGGAGGCTTCTGCAGCACAGAGATAGGCATCAGATGATATCAAATAAAATGGGAGGAAATGGACGAATTCAGGTGATAACTAGGAAGTAAAATCACCAGAATCTGGTGATGGATCATGGGGATGGTGAGGGATGCCCGGGATGAGCTTCCATCTACTACGAAGTGGAACTCCAGTGGGGAACAGCATGAAAGAAGTTTCAGGTGACATTTAGGCCTTTGTCTTGAGAGTCTGAAAAAGAGGCCTCAAGGAGGTGGATGCATACAGACAGCATTTAATACCACGCGTGTGCATGCGATGGCACGATAAAGGGACAGGGAGGGAGGTGGCACAGCACACAGGTCTCAGAATGTGCAGGGCCTCTGGGAGGAAAAAGCAAAGGAAGCTGAGGTGCAGACCTAGAACCCTAGGGGAGTGCGTACCCCTGATAAGAGATTGTCTCCACAGCAGGGGCCCCCAGAGGGTGCAAGGGTCTTTTGTCTTCTCAGTTCCTACCTTTAAGGTAACTTCAAAGGTACCTAGGAGGTAACCCGGGCACATGGACTTGTGTTCACAACATACTCAAGAGGCTTAATTCAAGCAAAGAGGGGCCCTCAGCCTAATGGGGTCCCCAGCCCATTGCCAAAACCAACCCAAAGTAGGGATTTCCCAGCAAAGACTATACAATAACAGAGACAATCCGTTTTCTGGCCAGCTGCTAGTAGGGGCCAACTCCTTCCATCTCTTCTTGGAGATGGTATTTGATGATGTATAACAGCATGGGGACACACACAAAAATCCTACCAGAATCTTAAGAAAAGCTGGAATTTTTATAATCCCTACGTGTGCCCAATTCTCTTGAGTTTTTAGTTTATTAGCAAGTGCTCAGACTCTGTCAAATACCAGAAGATCAGCAGCACTAAAGTGAAGGTGTGATTCACAAGGCCAAGAGCTGATGTGAGTGACACAGCCATAGTTTATGCTGAATCCTGTAACATTTCAGAGGGACTTAGGCAAATTGAAAGAGAAGTTAGCTAAATATCAAGAAAAACTTCCTCATAGCCAAACTCTACCAGAGCATAAAGGCAATTATCCAAAAAAGAAAAACTGTTAAGCTACTTATAAAGTTTATAACAGGGCCCAAGAGGACTCAGGTTGTGGAACATTCAGACTCTCTTCCCCAATCGGGCCTGGCAACTCAGTTCAGTACTGTGGACTGCCTGTTCTCAGCCCCAGCTGCTTTGATTGTAACAGCAGGGAGCCGGGCAGAGACAACTCCCCATTCCTTAAAGTGCTGACTTTTGAAGACAAAATGAAAACTGGTCGTCCAGAACTATTCACAAGTGTTCACATGCTTTAAAAACCATTGTGCCTAATACAAATAGCTATAAATGTTATAAATAGTTAAAAGATACAAGTGTTTGAGAAAGGGGTAAATTTTTGAATTCAGTAAATCCATCACTCCACAAAATAATCCTAAAAATACTGAAACGTTGGCAAAATAGAAAATGACTCTAGGAAGAATTAAAGGAAATATGTGCCCATATAAAAAGCCAAATATATTTTTTATAAGGAATCTTCATGTGATCCTTAAGCTTTTAGCAGACCGAAAATTTCTTAAAATGCTAATATATTCATATTTGCTGAATTTCTTCAAGAATAGTGTTCCATAAAACATGTTTTTGGTAAACACATACCCGCTGAGTAAGAACTGGAATCCTGAAAGAGCTCCAGGGAGACTATGAAGTGTAGCCAGGTTGGAAATCAGTTCTAAAGGTCCCTGTGGGTAGCGGGTGTCTGAGAGGATAGAGGTGGGAGGTCAGAGGGGTGCTGGCAGGGTCACCCACCTCCGTCCATGTGCTTCAGCGCCTTCTCAGCTTCATCCGGATTCTCAAACTCCACGTACGCATAGCCTTTGGACAGATGAGGATGCATCCTCTCTACGGGCATGTCAATCATTTTAATTTTCCCATAGGTTGAAAATATCTCCATGATGTGATCCTAGAGAGAAAAAAGGGTCAATCTAACACTCACCCACCCATTTCTTGTTTAAGAGTCAAAGAGAACTCAGTGCATAATGACTGAAACCTTGGCAGAGTAAAAGCATCCTGCTATCTAACTAGAGCCATCAACATCTTGGGATAAATCCTGTACACACGCACATGACAGTTCTTTGAAAAGAATTAATCAGTGCTCTACTGGAATCAAGTACACCCCGCCAGTCCTCTGAAAGGTGACATTCTAAGTTCACTCATTGGCACAGGCCTGCTTATTCACACCCCACTTGTCCACCAGACCAGTCCATGATCCTCACCTTGGTCACGTTCCTGGTGAGCCTCCCAATGTGCACTTTGGTGGGTTTTGGGGAAGGGCTCCGCCTCTTTCTCTCCTTTTCATCTCTTTTAGGTGGCTTGGATCTGATTAAGAAAACAAAACACCAGAAACAATCAGTTTCTGTCAAGTCAAAACATACTGGATTCCTTTTTAGTGGGATATTATCTGCTTGTATGACAGTTTTTGTATGAGTTTCTGATCGGTTCCTTTATATTATCCCTGTCTCAGAAATCCTATTAAGACAGAAAGACCGACTCCTTTTTGGTCTATTTTTACAATAACTGCAGGAGATTTAGTCCCCAGTTGAAAGCTCAAGTTCCCAGATAATACATGAGTCTGGGCACTCACTTGGAGCGGGAGCGCCGCCTGTTGTCGTGTCTGCGCCGAGAAGGACTCGGAGAGCCAGAGGAGCTGCTGGAGCTGGAGCTTCGGGATGTGCTAGAACTTCCTGAGCGGCTCGATGCCGAAGAGGAGCTAGAACCACTGCTTGAGCCTGTGCTGGTGCTGGAACCAGAGCTGGAGGTCGAGCTAGACCGAGACCTGAGTGTAAGATGAAAGGGTTGCGAGGAAGTCACATTTCTGCACAGTAGAGATTCCTCCTCCAAGCCAAATGCTCTTCAGAAGAGGAAACTGCTGTTTGGTATCTTCAAGCCTCACTGCTTTCCCCAGTGGGGATCCCCCACCCCAGGCCAGAGCCCTGGGCGTCACACTGTGTGGGTCACAGGAAAGGGGGATGGGCTGCTTTCTACATACATAGAAGTCTTTCCTCCTGGGAGGTAAAGAAAGAACCTAGCAGAAGTCAGAATCACCAATCTAACTTGGGAAGGTGGCTGCTGACGGAAACAGGCTGGGATTCAACCACCAAAAAAAAAAACAAAGGCTTTAAACTAGGGTAATATAATCAAAATTCTGAATCAAACCCACTTGAGAGAAAAATGTACTTCAAAATGTCACATTCCTTAATCTACAGAAAATAAGGAATACTCAAACAACATTTTCTATATATAATCAGAGCAAACTCCAAACTGGTCTGGCATAAATTAGGGGGTCTCTGTTAAACAATCTGAGGGCATGTTTTCTTTGTAAAAAAATCAAGAAAACACAGTCCTCTGTGGACTCTGCAGGGAGGAGGGATGTGGCTGCCACAGCAGGGTCCTCTCTGTGCTCTAGGCCAGCCAGCCCCACCTGGTGCTGCTGCTACCACTGGAAGCGCTGCGCCTCTTTCGAGCTTTATCCCTGCCGCGATCCTTCTCACTCGACTCCTTGGTGGCCCCTTTGTCTTTAGAACGATCTTTGGACTTCTCATCAGAGCGGTCTTTGCGTTTGGTAGGAGAAGGAGCCCTGGATGGTGAGGAAGGGTGTGAGATTGCATGCTCCTTTGACCAAACCCTGAAACAACAGCACAACCCAAAAGAGGGGATCCAAAAGGGCTAGAAATCCTGGGTGATCACAGAGCAAAGTGATCTGTGGCTTAGGACACTCACTGTGGAATGCAAGACATTTTCAATCTTCCCCTTTCTGAGGGTCCCTAGCAGTGAGCACCCCCAAAGTAGCACTAGAAAAATCTTACAGAAAGATTACCTAGTGCTGGACTTTTTATTATTTTCTTTGACTCCTAGCAAGCTCTTCTTTTTCACTCCTGATAAATCCATTCTCCCCTTCTGAGGTGTTCAAAGCAGCAATGGCGGCCTCACTTATCTGAACTCTCACTTCTAACTCGATTCTGAGAAACGATCCCTAATCGATGGCAATTTACGCCAAAGAGCAGCCTAATAACAAGATAAAAGGATTTAAAGAGTGAACGAATTGGCAAGGCAACAAATCTACTTTGCAGTAAAAAGCTGAGTACACAAGAAGGCAGTAAGGGAATACGGTAAGCAGCAAGTGTCCACATGGACAGGAACACACGGGGGACAGTCACTGTTTCCTCGTCAAGGATTCCCTATCCCCACAGTAAGCACAGGTAGAACTGTCACCCAGGTGGTCTTTTTTCTTTCTTTTTTTTTTTTTAAAGGAATGGGGTTGGTGGTGGTACCCATCACTGTTACTTTATAGGTTGAACAATACCAGTTTTCACTCATACGTTTGATGAGCCCTCTACAGTCCTTTCAAAATACTACAGCACACACAACACAGAAAATCCTAACTTGAGTGTGGCTCTCCTGATAGGATTAGATCTTGTTTAATTACTGTAATTTCCTCTTAGGATCCACTGGATAATGATATGACTGGAATCAAAAACCATTTCAAGTGACTGGTACCAGCATCAAGACATTTAATACCAAAATGCAAATAGATAAACTGTCACATAGGACATTTAAAAAGCAGTAAAAGAGTAATTAAAAGTAGTTTTTGCAAATACTGAACTTTAATGATATGCATACCTAGTGTGTAGGGAGAAGTATACACCAAATCTGCAATTTACTTTGGAATGTAAGAAAAGTAAGACTGATGGGTGAATTATTACAAGATATACCAAATATGGCAGAAACGTGACTTTGAAAATCACAAGTGGTGGCTATGTTGGAATTAACAGTATAATCTTTTCAACCTCTCTGTGTGCTTGAAATTTTTCAAAAAACAAGATGTTGGGGAAAAAGTAAACATTGGAACTGGTGAGAAACTGTATATCATGTGAGGGTTTAGCAATGTATCCGGACTCCTGCATGCGCTTAATAACGGTAATAACAAACCACTAATTAGTTATGTGCCCTATTTTCCAGTGAGGTTTTGTACAAAGTGCATGAGATGTAAGCAAAGATCTCAGGATGCCAGTTAGAACTACTTCTGTCTTGCTTTCCTGTAAATGAGGTGAACACGGCATGCCAATCAGGGTTCTGTTTTCACATGTGCGGAGGTGCCTCAAAATGCTGCTAAAGAAGTGTTCTGACCCAGGAAAGAAGAGCACCCAGCTCGAACAGTTAAATGAGAGTGAAAGAGGGCAGAATGTCACCTTTACTGCTCCTTTCCAGAACTATAAAGTGTTTGCCTTAAAACAAGAAGGTACTATAGACACATAGTAGGCAGCACTTGATAAGGTTAGTGTCCTTGAACAATCAGTGAGTACAACTCAGTGGTTAAGAGTCTAGAGTCAGCATGCCTGGGTTTAATTCGCGTCTTTGCTGTGTAACCTTGGACAAGTAATTTATTTTTTCTGACGTTTCTCATTATCAATTTTTCACCAGCAATATGATGACAATTACAATCCCACTTTACACAGTTATCAAGGCATTAACCAAATTAATACATGAAAGAGATGTGGCACCCAGTGAAGGCTCAATAAATGTTAGCTAATGTTAGAAAAAAGGGTTGTTTCTCCACACCTGGAGGCTCATTCCCCACATACTCTCCTCTCCAAAGTCACACATAATTCCTGAATGCTCAACCGGGGTCCCCGGACAGCCCCCCTAAAGATCACCTAGAGCAGCACCGTCCAACAGAAACAGTGTGAGCCATGAGCATAACCTAAAATTTCCTAGTAGTCACATCGCAAAAAAGTAATAGGTAAAATTAACTTTAATAATATATTTGACACACTATACCCAATTTATCTTTCCAAGACATAATCAATACAAAAACTAATGAAAACTTACTTTTTTCCCTACAGTAATTAAGTCTTCTAAGTCTGGTATGTATTTTAACATCTCAGTTCGGATTATCTATATTTCAAGTGCTAAATAGCCACATGTGGCCAATGCTACCCTACTGGGACAGCACAGGTTACCCCCAGGCAGATTACAGCCCCCTCCCCCGACCCCTCCCCCCACCCAATTCTAAACATCTGCCCAAATGTACTTAGTAAAAACAAGCACCACCGGTTATTTTCAAGCACTCTGAAAATTAAGAACCACAGAGTAAGCGAACGCTTTGCTTTGCTGGGTGTGGTCGAGTGCTAGAAAGCAAAGGCTGAGGTTCTCTGCTCACACAAGTTCAGGTAACAGCTCAGGACCTCGGTTACCTCCCCCATCCTCCGGAAAAGCGCGCGTCCAACAGCCAAAGAGAGGAGAGAAGAATTAGTTAAATCTTGAGTAGATGGCGTTTCAGCACACATCTTCAGAGCACCTTCCCCACTTAGAAGTGCATTTCAGACACAGTTCATGCGAAATAACAAAGGCAGAAAAGCCCGCTCCTCATCTCTCTTCCACCGACCTTATTAACCTTCCCACACCCTCCGTTCTGGGGCACCCCGGTCAAACCGAGCTCGGTCACCATACTCCGTCCCCGCTGGATCGAATGTCCCCAGGCTTAGCGCAGAGACCAGCGCACAGGAGCCCAGCAGAGGTTCTCTGAGTGAAGGTCAGGATTCACGACTCTGAAGGGGGGCTGAGCCGGCCTTCCAGAGCACCCCACAAAGCAACTCCGCGACCCCTGCCCGCGTTCACTCACAACTCCCAGTCCCGGCGCCGGGCCGCGAGCGCTTCCAGGCAGGGCCCGGGGTGGCCCACCTGGTTCTCCGCCTCGCGGGAGGGCTCCGAGGGGCGGAGGCCGCGCTCCTAGCGGCTCTGGGTCCCGCCGGCCTGGCTGGGCCGCCACCAAGCGCACGAAGGGGGGACGCCCTTCCGTCCGCGGCGGCCCCGACCACTTCCGGGCCGCGGCCTCGACACCTCCCACTCCGCCCGCCCCGGCCACACACTTTCTCCTCGGACGCCGAGCCACCAGGCTGCCCCGCCGCCCCGCGGGGCCGAGAAGCGGGCCGGCTCCACGATAAGTCACGCTGGGCCTGGCGGGTGGTCCCCAGAGCTCGGATGCGGCCGGATTCCGCTCCCAACTTACATCTTCCCGCCGCCGCCGCCTCCTCCCGCTCTCCTCGGCCGCTGAAGCGGGCGCCGTTCTGTCGTCAGAGTTAAGGAGCGGGAAGGAGACGCTGTCCGGCGCGCAGTGATGACGTATACGCCTCAGCCAATTGGGCACGAGCAGGGGATAATTAAAGGGCCAAGGCCGTTCGTGGGAGCCGTGTGCGGGGCACCTATTATGTCTCCCCCATGGAGAGGTCGCGGGGGCCGTCCCGAAATGGCTCCGCGCTGCCATCTGAAGCGGGCAAAGCGGCGCTCGCTAGGCCGGAGAGGGCCGCGCCGCGTGGGCGGCGCGCGGGCCGGCGCGGAGGGGGTTAACGCGGCTGCGGCCCCGCCCCCGTCCGCGCGCGTGCGCACTGGGCTTGCGGCGGGGCCGGCTGGTTTCCCCCGCGGGGGGGGCCCGGCC